TTTTTGGAGTGAGAGGCTGGACCTGATTTGTTGGTATCCCCATAGTCAGGCCTCTGGCCGAGGACTCTAGTAACAATTTTTGAGTTAACTTTTCTTACAGGGTTAAAGCACAGGGGACTTTCTTATCATGCCCTCTCAGGTTGACTGGGCTGTTGGGTTCGTTGTTATTTCGAAAACTGGCCTGTTTCTCAGTTCAGTTTGATGACATGGCATCTAGACAAGTGACTCTCTTCTGGATCCATCTAGTCTATTGGGGCCTAGTACCAGAGCCCAGACCAAAACAATGACCTCCCCTAAGTATCACTTAATATCAGATAGTCAGCAGTTGGGGAAAATTTGGGTGTGAAGAGTAGGGCTGTTGGCCCTGGAATGAGTAAGGAAAGCCTGAAAGGGAAACTGACTTAGGGAGAAGGATGAGTTTCTGAGAAACTCATGTGACTCCATTTTTAAAAATAAATAACAGCAGCTTCTACCTCAAGGCCAGTCCTAAGGAAGGGGGTGTGACCCTTATCCTTGGAAAAACCCACAGAGCACTCCTAAGCACCTGCTGAGTTGTTTGTCTGTAAATAACAGGAGAGGTCTGAGGCGCCAGGTGTCCCTGACTCAGTTAGGCTAGGTGAGGACCCATAGCAACCCCCTAGCAACCTCCAATCAGCATGAGACAGGGAAAATACCTGGGATGCCAGATGACCCCCCCAGTAGTTTATGGTGGTTGCTAACATGTTGGGAAGCCATGTAGTTTAGCACGTACACCCCTCGTGGCCTAAACCAATCAGTTCAAACGAATCCCCCTCTTGTACTGACCAATCACCCCTACCCAACTTGTTCCCGACAGTGAATGTGCTAATCAATGTTAAGAGTTGTTGTTTGACTTTCCCGCGGTATGGAATGATTTGCTGTGTGATGTTGTGACCCATAGAGTATCCCCCCAAAACCTATAAAATCTCACTGAACAAAGGACCAGGACTCACTCCCTGGGACCGCTGCGTCAGAAACGGTTGTGAGTCCAGGCTTGAGCTTGCACTAAAGACTCTTGTGTGATTGCATCAGATTCGGCTCCTGGAGGTCTATTGGGGTCCCACGAATCTGGCATAACATTTCTAAGGCAGAAACTGTCAACAATGGCTGTCATTTATACTGTGGCATGTTAACACGCCCCATCCTCATGCTGGGGACTGAACCAGGTGTATTCTACCACTGAGCTACATCCCAGTCTTTTATTTTTTTGAGACAAGGTTTCACTAAGTATAAACACCTTCCAGGTATTTCAGAGGCCCAGAAGGACGTTTTTGTTTGGATAGGATCTTGACCTACTGCTGAAGAGTTTAGCAGTTAGCAGTCCCTAACACACCTATTTGCTTGTGGGGCTCAGTTGGTTAAATTAAATTAATTAATTTATTAAAGTTTATTTTAGGTACCTGGGATTGAACCCAGGGGCACTTAGCCACTGAGCCCCAATCCCAGCCCTTTTTATTTTTTATTTTGAGACAGGGTCTCCCTAAATTGCTTCGGGCCTCACTAAATTGCTGGGGTTGGCTTTGAACTTTTGATTCTCCTGCCTCAGCCTCCAGAGCCTCTGGGATTGCAGCTGTGCACCTTTACGTGCAGCAGTTGGTAGATTTTAGTGGAATCCCTTCTATCTTTCTATAGCCACAGGTTTATTCAGAAACTGACTCATCCCCCAAAACAGAGGGAGCAGGAACTCTAACCCCACTAAGATTTAAGACTATAATAATATGTCTGAGCAGTGCATGGTGTCACAGGCCTGTACTCTTAGCTATTTAGGAGGCTGAGACAGAAAGATCTCCAGTTTGAGACCAGCCTGGGCAACTTAGAGAGACCTCGTCTCCAAATTTTAGAAAAGTGCTGGGGAAGTAGCTCAGTAGTAGAGCACCCCTGGGTTAAATTCCCAGTACTGGAGGGCGGGGAGTGGGGAAGCAAGCTCTGTCTGATGGATTGGGAATACTCAGCCAAAGTTTGATTTCAGGAAGACAAGCTGGTTCCCAATGGGATAAATGGCTTTGGGATCACTGAATGAGACTCCCTTCAAAGGCCTAAGAAGGAGGCCCTTTTACAGTGCATAGTGCGTCCTGAGGGTGGAGTTGAGATGGAGGCAGAAGGTGGCAACTCTAGAGTGCATGTGTATGAAGTGTCTGTGCTCTACCACATGGAGACCAGACTGCTTTACATGGGACAGCCTGACTGGGCTGAATGAAGATTGAGTGTGTTCTCTCTCATTTCACAAGTGTCAATGTCTACAGAGGCCCAAACTAAGGCCTTTAGTAGTCAGTAAAGTAGTTTTATTCCTTCAGGACTTCTGGGGTTTGAGGTAAAAAATTGATACTAACTGGGTGCAGTGGTGCATGCCTGTTAATTCCAGCAGTTCAGGAGGCTGAAGCAGGAGGATCACAAGTTCAAAGCCAGCCTCAGCAACTTATCGAGGCCTTAAGCAATTTAGTAAGATCTTGCCTCAAAATAAAAAATAAAAAGGGCTGGAGATGTGGATTAGTAGTTATAAGCCCCCCTGGTTCAATCCCCAGTACTAAAAAACCCCCACTAATTCTGTGACAGGTTTCCAGCTCTATTGAGCAGTGAATATATGTTTCCATATATTCCATATATTGTAAGTAATGCCAGCAGGTGTCTGGTTGCCCATGGCTGGGGAAGAGGCCAGAAGGCATAAGTGACTTGGTTAGAGTGTTATCTGAAAGGCTATTAAGGACTAGGAATTTTAGGGTAAAGCTCAGGCCACCAAAGTATAAGCAGTAACCAGGGCTAATCATGGACATACTGTTATCATGGAGATTCCCAAAAACAAGAGAAGAAAGTAACCCCAGAAAAGACTGCAACTTCTTATTAGTCCAGCAAGTAGTGTTTAGCAATGCTTGGAATCTTGTTAGAAGTGCAAACTCAGAGCCAACCTCAGACCTACTGTGTCAAAAATACTGGTGTGTGTGTGTGTGTATGTGTGTGTGTGTTTATGTGTGTTGTGTGTGTTTTGCTGGGAAAGGAGGATGGAGACAGCACCAGGTCAAGCATGTTCTGTGAGCCACAGAAGACTGGGCAGGGTTTTATTCTAGTTGCAGCAGGAAGCCATTTAAGGGTTTTAAGCAAGATCTGATTTTTGCTTTAAAAATTACAGTCAGTATATTGTCTGTACATTCTCCCATCATTCATCACACGGCAGCCACAGTGGCCTTCTTTCAGTTCTTTGAACACACTGAGACCCTTGCTGCCTCTGAGCTTTTGTACTTGTGGCTCCTTCTGGAATGTTCTTCCCTAGTAGTTCACCTGGCCAGCTCCTTTTCAGGCCTCACTCATGGCATGGGCCACTCAGAGGCCCTTTCTGTCCATTCTAACAGGTCTTCCCCATTGTCCCTACCTCATGATCCTGTTCATTTCATTTCCCTCGGAGCACTACAGCTCTTGTCCCAGTGTGTTAATTATTACCCTATTTGTTCTTATCTGCCTGCCCACTCGATTGCGTTCTCTTGAGGACAGAGTTGTTTTCTGTCTTATTCATGGTTATGTATCTAGGACCCAGACAAGTTTTTAGCACACCATGCGTTCTCTTTAAATATGGAGATGCTGGGGGCTGGGGATATAGCTCAGTTGGTAGAGTGATTGCCTCTCAGGCACAAGTTCTTGGGTTCACTCCCCAGCACCACAGGGGAAAAAAAGAAGAGAGATGGAGATGGTGTCCTCAGTCCTACCTATGGGCTCCAACACAGGAAGTCGAGTGAAGAAGAGCCAGCAAAGAAAACTAACTACAGTAAGGATTGGGGTTGTAGCTCAGTGGTAAAGTGCTTGCCTAGCATTAGTGAGGCCCTGGGTTTGATTCTCAGCACCACATTAAAAACAAACAAACAAACAGTAATTTGAGGAATATATATTTTTTTGTTTTGTTTTGTTTTTGGTACCAGAGATTGAACCCAGGGGCACTCAACCATTCAAGCCACATCCCTAGCCTTTTTTCAGTTGTATATGGACACAATGTCTTTATTTATTTTTATGTGGTACTGAGGATCGAACCCAGTGCCTCACTCATGCTAGGCAAGCGCTCTACCACTGAGCTACAACTTCAGCCCCCCCACCTTTTTTTGTACTTTATTTAGAGAAGGTTCTTGCTGAGTTGCTTAGGGCCTCACTAAGTTGCTGAGGCTGGCTTTGAACTCATGATCTTCCTGCCTCAGCCTCCTGACCCACAGGAATAGCAAATGTATGCCACCACCCCTGGCATTGAGGAATATTTCTTTTTTTTTTTTTAATTTTTATTGTTGGTTGTTCAAAACATTACATAGTTCTTGATATATCATATTTCACACTTTGATTCAAGTGGGTTATGAACTCCCATTTTTACCCCGTATACAGATTGCAGAATCATATCAGTTACACATCCATTGATTTACATATTGCCATACTAGTGTCTATTGTATTCTGCTGCCTTTCCTATCCTCTACTATCCCCCGAGGAATATTTCTTGAGAATGTGCAACTTTCTTTTTTCTCCTTAAAGTATTTTTCACTAATTTTGTATTCATCAGTAGATTTGCCTGTAGCAATTATTTTGTGGTATCTTAATGGAGATTTTCTATTTCCTTCATTCTACATATATTATTTAGAACTCACCTGTAAAGAAAACGTATCCCTTTCCTCCAATTTATTTATTCCACCTTGTCATGCATTCATGGATATGTATTTTGTTCTTTGGATTATTAGTCAGTGTTTTTTGGTGGGGAGGGTACCAGGGATTGAACTCAGTCAGTATTATAATTTTTTAATTTTTCTTGCTCAAATTGTTCTCGCTTTGTCTTTGGGAGCTCTTTTAGTTGGATCTTTTGTTTTTTTTCCCCCCTTGGTAATGAGGATTGTACCAAGGGGTACCCCATCACTGAGCTATACACCCAACCCTTTTTATTTGAGATAGGGTCTTGTTAAGTTGCCCAGGCTGGCCTGGAACTTGCAATCCTCCAGAGTCTCTGGGATTTTAGGCATGTGCTACCAATATGCCTGCCAGGTGCGTTTTTTTTTTTGACATGTGGTCATCTCTTCCCTCTCTCTCTCTCTTCCGCTCCTTTTCTGTAAGATACGTAAGCTCATTCTGCATTTTCTCCATCTCAGCCCTAGAACTAGCCATTTCTCCAAGGAACTTGGGTTCCTTTTGTTGGAGAATAGCATTTTGAAACTAGGATCTGGGTGCTGAGTGTGGTCATTGCTGCTGGGGTGTCATTACTTCTTGGTCCTCTTAATGGACAATACTAGGAAGCATATGTTTGTATACGCTTATGTATACATATTTATTTCTTTGTATACCTATTAAAATAAACAAGCGTTCAAGCTGTATTGCCAACTCTAATACAACCTCACAGGGTCCCTCCTAGCTTTCCCTACCTCATTGTCATTTCTTTCTGGGCCAGTGAGAAACCTCTCTTTCTTTATCAACAGTAGATTTATTTATCTGTACAACCCTAGTATACAAAGTAGTTTCAGAATTGCCAACCCGGTATCTGTGCAAGACAATTTGCCAACAATACTGCACTGTTTGTATACAGTTCTTTCTTATTTTAATCTTATAAATTTTAAGCCAAAACATTGCTTTCCAAGTTTAAGTTTAGTTTTTTTTTTAATCCCTCACTCCCTTCAATGAGGCTATGTTATACATTTGTTATACAACTAGATTCGTTTGTCATATTCTGAGTTTTCAGGATAGCCTGATTATCTTTTTTATATTCACATAAATAAAAGTCCCTCTTCATGGTATGTGCTTCTTTGTGTTTTGATAAATGTATACAGTTATAAACCCGCCACCAAAGTACCATGTAGAACAGTCTGTCACTCAAAGATTCCCTTGTGCAGGTCCTCATAGTGAGCGCCTCCTTTCTTCACACTGACATATTTTCCATTCCTATTTCTTTGCCTTTTTCTGAATGTCTTACAAATATGTAACTCTTTAAGTCTAAGCCTCTTTCACTTAGCAAAATGCATTTAAGAGCATGTTGTTATTTGAACCAATGGTTCATTCCTTTATCCTGCTGAGTATGGACAGGCTCATAGCCACTCATGGATTGAATATCCACAATTGGTTTATCCATTCTTCTGTGGAAGCACATCTGGATTATTTCTAGTTTTTTGGGCAATTATTAATGAAACTGCTATTAAACAGTCTTGTGTAGGTTGTTGTGTGAGTGTAAGATTCCAGTTGACTTGGGTCAGTTTCTGGTAGTGAAATGGCTGCCTCCCATATTTAGATCCTTATAAGAAACCTCCATACAGTTTTTCAAAATAGCTGCTATGCTTTGCCATCCCATTGGTGACAATGAGAATTCCCGTTGTTTTGCATCCTCACCAGCATTTTGTTGTCTATACTTTTTAAAACAACTTCTCCTTTCCTTAGGTCTCTGCCTGGATCACAAAATAATCTACACCCTTGCCACCTGCTGGTATTGGTGCAGGTGATTAGCCCTCTTCCTCTGGGTGCTAAGTACTCTCTTCTTCTATTTCCCAACAGTCGGGAAGGGCAGCTCCAGCAGACATTCTTAGGCTGGCCTGAGAGACAACAGCACTTTGCTGGAGAAGCATTCCTTCCTGGATTTCCCAAACCTTTGCCTTCGGGCAGCCTTTGAGCTTCTTGCTCCTTTCAGCCTCTGGCTAATCTAACCAAGGGAATCCACTGACGTTCGAGGGTGGTCAAGGGTCTTCACTAGAGACTCTTCAGCGGCTGAGGAGCCAACAGGATAGACCACTTTGCGTGGCTTTCCAGCTGGGCAACGGGGTATTCATTCATCAGGAGGGAGCTGAGCACCAGGCCCCTGCTCCCTGTCTCTGCCTCCTAACTTGGCAGGTAGCACATTCTCATAGTCATGAGTGTCTTCGTGTGACATTTCTTCTTCATGTTTCATCTGACAGTCCTCACTCAGTGGGGATACACAGTGCCCTGAAGATAGGGAATTCCTTGTGAGAGGATGGATGTCTGTCCCCGGGCCATCTGTCTTTCCCTCTTCATGGTCTGTGTTTGAAGTTGTCACTTCTTCTTCAGTTTGCTGCTGGCTTCCCTTGGGATCTGCTGGTGGGACATTCTCATAATCTCTGCAGCATTGAAAAGCCACCCAGGGCAACTCCTCTTGGATGTCCTCGAGATCCAAACCTGTCATGTTGACATAGTCATTTGAGGTCTGAGAAGAATCCTCCCCATCGCTGAGTGGATCGCTGTCCTTAGTTCCTGGAGCCCAAAAGCTGGTACAGTCACTGGCATCCCCACAGCCCTTGTGTCTTTTCTCAGTTAAGTCCGACTGCTGGGCGCTTGAAAGAACAAGGAGACTTTCAGGCAGGCTGTTGTTAGGAGTTAGAGTCTCAGCCATCTCTTCTGCTGTGGGGACATTGACATAATCATTTGAATCCTCTGAAGAAGTGCTCGAGACATCCCTGGAAGCTCTGACATTGACATAGTGTGTCGAGGGAGTGACGTTCCTGCACACCTGGGGCACCGTTGCATTGTCGTAGACACCAACTGCATATCCCATGGTGTGGATATGGGCTGTGTGCATCTGGAGGGTGCTCTCTGCTTGGGAGGGCTGTGAAGAAGAAGAGAAAGTGACAGGATGGAAGCAGAAATGTGGACAATGTCTCTCTTCTTCCCTGTGCACCACTTACTAGTGCCACCTGGTTCCTTCATTCAGTCCTCTATGTGGGGTCTCAGACCACAAGGCTCTAGCTGTCAGACAGGTATGAATGACGTGGACTGAGTTTAAGAGGCGCAATCATGTAAATGGGATGACAGGCTGCAACTGGCTTTTGGCCACAGCGTGGGGGTTCAGTGGGGCGTGGGGAGGAAGTGTCATAAACTAGAGAGAGCCTGCGTCCCCAGATCACACTGAGAAGCAATATGGCACAGGGACTAAAGGCAAAGGCTCAGATTGGTCCTGAGTGAGTCCAATCTCTTCACCTTATCTCTCTGCCTTTATTCTCTAATTTGTCAAATGAGGATCATCATTGTATCAACTTCATAAAGGTTTTTGTGAGAGATAAAAGGATCAGTACATATAAGGTGCTTAGAATAGCACACCGACGACACCAAGAAATGCTTGCTATTATTTCTAAAGGGACACTGGTGCACAGCTCCAGCTGCTCATTGCCATTTAGGGATCCTGGTCTGATGTTTCCAGAATTTCTGAATTTTCAAGAAAAGTTGGATATCTGGATTTTTCGATCTGTAATGCCTTCAATATTCACGTCGGTAACTCATTCAGCGTGTTCTTCAAACACTACAGAGTACAAACCAAACATATTTGTGGGCCTAAGACAGTTTGAGTCACACAGCCTGGTGGCACACGCCTGTAATCCCAGAGACTCAGGAGGCTGAGGCAGGTTCAGCAATTTAGTGGAAGAATTAGAGGAATTTAGCAATTAGTGAAGCATTAAGCAACTCAGTGAGAACCTGTCTCTAAATAAAATACAAAATAGGGCCTGGGATGTGACTCTGTGGTCGAGTGCCCCTGAGTTCAATCTCCAGTACCAAAAAAAAAAAAAAAAAACTTCAGCACAGGGACTTGGGGAGCCCCTGAGTTCAATCTCCAGTACCAAAAACAAAAAACAAATAAAACTTCAGCACAGGGACTTGGGGAGACCATTCAGATCACCATGGGGATAGCAAAATTTAAGCAATTTAGAGGAAGAGGAAGCAAAAGTGGTGACGTGGGGTGGCTGCATAGTAAAGGAACCTAAATTTTTGGGAAACTGGATGATGACGGGCCGAGTGACAACAGATTGTCCATCAGCAGTCTCGCTGCACTTGCCCAAGGAGGACCATTTTGTAAGATCCTGCCTCAAAATAAAAAAAAAAAAATTAAAAATTAAGTGACAGAGGATGGAGCTCAGTAGTAAAGCCCCCTTGGGTTCAATCCCTAATACAAAAAGAAAAAATAAAAAAGTCTGGGACCTAAGCTCTAACTGCAAAATGTCCTCAGGGACTACCCAGGTCTTCGAATGGCTTTGGCAGGGAGTTTCCTCTGCTCTGCCCTTTCTCAGCCACTCAGACTCGCTACCCAGGAAGTTACAGGCAGGAGTAGAGGCCAGTGAGTGGGAGGAGGAAGAGGAAGCAAAAGTGGTGACGTGGGGTGGCTGCATAGTAAAGGAACCTAAACTTCTGGGAAACTGGATGATGACAGGCTTGTGACAACAGATTGTCCATCAGCAGTCTCGTTGCACTTGCCCAAGGAGGACCACGAAACCAGAGGGACTGGTTTTTTAACAAGCAAATAACATGTGTACAAAAATCAGGACCCTGACATTCAAAGTAGCCCCACTGTCACCAAACTGTTGTTGAAATCATCCTCGGGAGCCACCTTCAAAGCCAGATTATAAAACATACAGTACTACCTCTGTAAATCCTAACACTCCGCTCAAAACCCCAGAGGCTATCCCCATGGTGATCTGAATGGTCTACCCAAGTCCATGTGTTAAAGCAATTGTTTTTTTTTTTTTTTGGTACTGGAGATTGAAGTCAGGGGCACTCGACCACAGAGTCACATCCCCAGCCCTATTTTGTATTTTATTTAGAGACAGGGTTTCACTGAGTTGCTTAGTGCTTCATTTTTCCTGGGGCTGGTTTTGAACATGTGATCTTCCTGCCTCAGCTTCCCAAGCCACTGGGATTACAGGTGGGGGGCCACGGCTCCCTGCCCATATGTGGAAGTCTTAATCCCTGTTGCAACAGTATTGAGAGGTGGGACCTTTAAGAGGTGATTAATGCTGTTGTCGTGGCAGTTAGTTATCACTAGTTAGTTATCACAGAAGCGGGTTCCTGATAAAAGGATGAATACTTCCCCCTTCTCTCTCTTTTCTTTCCCTCATCATGTTATAACAAGCAAGAAGGCCCTCACCAGATGCAGTCCCTTGATTTTGGACTTTGCAGTCTCCAGAAGGGCAAAACAAATAAACTTCTATCCATTAGAAGTTACCCTAAATGGGGCTGGGGCTGTAGCTCAGTGGCAGAACTCTTGCCTCACATGCGTGAGGCACTGGGTTCGATCCTCAGCACCAAATGAAAAAATAAATAAAATAAAGGCATTCTTTCCATCTACAACTAAAAGAAAAAAATTAAATTAAAAAAAATTTACCCCCAATGGACCAAGACTCCTTCATTTGATCAAACACTTTCAACAAGGGCTTCAGGGCTGAATGAATGATTTATGGAGATTTTTGCTTTGAGGATCATGGAGACAATTTGACACAAACCCTAGAAGTAACTCCCAGAGCTGGGTTTTAAGTGTCTTGAGTATCAACAGTGTCATCAGTACTCAAAATGACACCCACCTCTGACTCTCATTTGGATAAGCACATTATCACATTTTTGTTAAAATAGTCAATTTCAGTTCCACATTATGTACTTGAATACTTTTGCCTTTCTTAAAACCCCAAGCACTTGCTCCTGTCTTTCTTAATTTTTCTCCTTGGGCAGTAGGGAGGTCTGCAGCTGGTCATCTCAATTTATTAATAGGCCTGCAAGGTGAGGGCCAGAGGACATGCTGTTTGTCGTGAAACCAGATCCGAGACCTACGACTCATTCCCTTCAGTTCTTCGGCCAGAGACCTGTCATTCTCTCCGGGGGCTTGTCTTTTCACTTGACTCTTTTTTTTTTCCCAGTGCTGGGGATAAAATCAGGGCTTCCCACATGCTCAGCAGGTGCCTTGTCACTGAGCTACACCCCAATCCTTCACTTGACTCTTACCATATGCTCCGGGCTGTCGGAATTTCTGGACAGGAGGCTCTCGGCACTGAACATGCGGATATTCCTTGGCTGATGTCTCCCTGAAATGACAGAGAATGAAACCTGAAGATAGTCAGTCTTCTGTGTGCTTCAGCCCAAACTATCCCTGCGTGGTGGCTGAGCTGGGTTTGTGTGGGACTTGGTATTTCCAGACGGAGCCTGGTGTTCTGTGATGACGGGATCCAACCTGCCAGGCTTCTGTGCTCTGAGACTTGGAGGCCTCCTTGGAAGCTCCTGCAGAGCACTCCCCCATCGCTACCTGAGATGCTGGCTCCAGGGACTCCCTAGGCAGGTCCTCCCCACACCTGGACACATGCGGCTCTCATCTGCTGCCTTAATGTCAAGAAAAGCCCAAACCCCAAGCCAGGATGATCCTTGCTTCCTTTTTAGAGCTCTCCCGGCCTCCCCTGGAGGTGCAGCTTACAGTCTACCTAGCTCCTTCTTCTCAGTGCTCTCTGAAGCGCTCTCTGGAAGCTTGGAGCAAGTTGCTTCCAGGTGGAGAGAAGTGCATTCTGGGAGCTGAAGTTCAGATATCAGGACTGCACAGATCAGAAGGAAAAACTTACCCAGCTCTTCTTGCCGCTGAGGCAAGAGATCATAAATATTTTTGGCTCGTGGTCTGGGTCGAGGCAGAGTCAATGAGGGCATGGCAGTCACTGGGAGGTAAGGAACCCGCCCTGCAAAGCAGTGAGAGAGATGGGGATCATGGCACGGGTCAACTGTGAGGACTCTTGGGGACAAGATGCTCCCTGGAAATGTTCCCCACCCCTACCTGGTAGCATAAAATAAATTATGTTTTTAGACTTGAGCCAGAATTTCCATTTGAAATTCTGCCACACTGTCCTCCAGTGCCGTTTGAACTAAAGGAATAGGGGACTCATGGACAGAGGCAGGACAAGGGTGAAACTGGCTGCAGGGGCACTTGAGCCACGTTCTTCTGATCCCAGTGCACTGCAATTGAGGACCAGTGTGCCAGGTAAGGGCAGAGGACTCCTCAGTGCCATGCCAGGCTGGAGGATTAGCCCTACTATGTCTCAACTCAGGATATACAAGGACTCACGCTTCTTCCGTTTGTTCCAGTTCCACAGGATGCAGGCCACTGTGATGAGCAGGAGGACAGCCAGGAGTCCCACTAACCCAGAAAAGATGATGCTGCTCTTGTCGTTATCTCTAGGAGGAAAACCAAGTGCCATGCTCCGGCTGGCTGTGGGATGGTGGGGAGGTGGGTGGAGAAAATGTTTCCTTCAGGAGTTAGAGCTCAAAGATTTGGAACAGGAGCCCAAGCAAGGAAAGCCGAGGTGGAATACACCAAGGGGCAGAAGAGAGGGTCATCTCTGAATAGCGACTACAAGGAGAGGGGACTTGGACATGGCAGACGAGAACCATCCCTTTAGAATGCCTACCAAGTGCTAGAGGTTTGCATGTGCAACTTATTTAGTCTTTAGAACAACCCTATCTTGCTTTGGGGCCAAGCATCCTGAGATTTAGACTCAGGAAAGGTACCTTGTCCGCGATTACATAGGTAGGAAGGCACAGAGGTGCAACGTGAGTCTAGGTCTGCTAGGGTTCAAAGATCTTGCTCTTTCAGCTCTGTCACACTGTCCTCCAAACTTGCAAAATCAAATCCCTCTGCCCCTGTTTCTCCTCATTCCCACTCCTGGGATTCCTGGCTTGCTTGGAGGAGAAGATTACCCAACTCACAATTAGGGAGTGGCTCTGTGACAGAGTCCAACTTGTATGAACTTGAGTAACCCCCAACTTGTGGAGCTGGTCTCCAGGCAACACCCGACTGTTGTGTAGAATTGATCCAATGCAAGTTCTGTGCTACCTTGCAATTCCCTGGCAGGGCCCGAGTCACCCTCTGTTTGCTTGGGTGTTGAAATGCATTCAGATGAGTGCAACCCCAGGCGGCTGTACCTACTGAAACAGGAAGCAGCCAGTGGAGGTTACAGCAGGAATCAGTAACAGAACTGCCACCCCCGAACATTAAAAACCAGATTACTACCAGGAAAGGTTTCTGTCCTCCAAATTCTAAGCTAATAATCCACCTTTCTTTTCTTTCCCTGCCCCACGCTCCTGTCCCCGACCCCCATCACAGTGCTAGCTACTTGCTCCTCCTCCTTTGGTATTTCTCATCTACTGTCATGGTCAGAAACCTTGGTGACTTTTTTTTTTTTTAAATACAGGGACACTTAACCACTGAGCCACATTTCCATTTTGTATTTTATTTAAAGACAAGGTCTCATTGAGTTGCTTAGGGCCTCACCATTGCTGAGGCTGACTTTGAACTCACGATCCTCCTACCTCAGCTTCCTGAGCCACTGGGATTACAGGCGTGTGCCACTGCGTCTGGCTCCTTGGTGCCATCCTTGACTGCTCTTTTTCTTTATGCCCTCCTTCTAGTTAACCAGCACATTCTGTCTGCTTTACCCTGGGCATGGGCCTCTACCCCAAACCCCGTTACCTCTTATTCCTCTCCTGCCTCCACCCTGGTCCCAGCCAGCATGAGTTCCACATGGAACTTTGCAATAACCTTCCTAATGGCTGCTCTGGTTTTCCTCTTGGCCCACATCCATCTTCCCCACAGGAGCCGGCATGATCATTGCAAACAATAAGGCAGACCGGGTTCCTTCTCTGCTTGTAGCCCTCCGTGGCTTCCTGTCACCCTTGGAAGAAAGGCTACAGTCCCTGCCCAGTAAGGATTTTATGGCTCCATATAATCTTGCCTCTGCCTACCCTCTGATCTCATTTCCTACTACCTTTCCTCTGATCTTGACCTCCAGGGCTCCTTGCTGTTCCTTCCTATGCAAGGCAGAGGACTGTCTCAGATCTCTCTCTCCCTCTCCCAGCTCTCTGCATGGCTTAGTCCCTCACTTCACCCAAGTCTCTTCTGACATGTGAACTCCTCAGTCTTTCCTGGCCACACTTTTACTTGAAATCTCCTTACTCTGTTCTATTTTGTGCTTCAAAGCATTTACGACGGGTTGAGATTATATTAAACATTCACTTGTTTATCTGGTTTTCATCTGACACTCTAAGCTTCAGGAGGTCATGGACTTGTCTGTCCTGGTCACCTGGTGCCTTCAACAGTGCCTAGTACCGAGCAGGAGCCTGATGAATATTTATTAAGTGAAGGAGTGAGTGAAATGATAAACAAATGAATAGAAAACGTTTTGAGGGTAGTACTGCCATTATGGAAAACAGTATGAAAGTTCTTCAGAAAATTAAAAAGAGAGCGACCCCATGATTCACCAATCCCATTACTGGGTATAGACCCAAAGTAAATGAAGTCAGTACAGCTGCACTCCCACGTTTATTGAGAGGTGTCCACAATCCCCCGTTCACTGCAGCATTATCCCAATAGCCAAGATTTGGAATCAATCTAAGTGCACATCAGCAGATGAATGGAGAAAGGGAATGTGATATATATACACCATGGCTACTACTCAGTCTTAGAAAGGGAGAAAATCTTTGTGACTATGTGGATGAACCAGAAGGTTATTAGGTTAAGTGGAATAAGTCAGACACAGAAAGACAAATACTGCATGATCTCACTTATATGTGGAATCTAAAAAAGTTGGACTCATAGAAGCAGGGGCTGTGGAGATGTTGATCAAAGGATACAAAATTTCATTTAGATTGAAGGAATAAGTTCAAGAGCTCTATCATATAACATGGCATTGTTAAAAATAATGTATTGTACCCTTGAACATTACTTCGAGTGGGTTTCAAGTATTATCACAGATACACAAAAAGAAACAGTATGTGAAATAGGGCCTCCATTACTTAGCTCGATTTAGCCATCCCACAATGAATACATATTTTAGATCAACATGTTGTACACAATAAATAGACACAATTTATATTTGTTGATTAAAAAATAAAAACTAAATTAAAAAAGAAGTCGTTTTGGAGGAGTGCTTCAGCCTTATGACAACTTTTATAAATTCATTCCTCATCAAGGCCCATGTTCACCTGTAAGAGACAGGTTTTGGTTCTGATAATAATATTTGTTTCCCCAATCTAAGCAATTTTAAAATTTATGATCCTGGGTTTTTATTTTTATCATAGCACTGAAATTTATATCTGTCAGAGTTGCTAAAGTTTCAACTCCTGATGGACCTTTTATTTTTGTTTGTATGGGACTGAAAGCATTAGCAATGAATTTACAACTGCAGTTAGTTCTGTGAGTTTTTATACTCTAAAAACATATCTCTATTACATCCATTATTACATTTTCTATGTGTGGTTAGGTTGTAGGATCTAAAAACACATCCTTAGGACAATGGGCCTTTTGTTTCTATAGATTGGGGACAGAGATCAGGGTCTCAGAGAGAAGAAAGATCCAACCAGGCCAGGAAATCCAACCAACAATTTTTCTTCACCCCCAACATCTCCTTTTTTTCCTTCCCCCAACTCCGAGCAAATGTTGCTGAGCTTAAGCTTGGTGTTCTTAGTGGACCTGAGCCTGGTCGTGAGGAGCAACAGCACTGCTGGGTTAAAGGATCCTTGGAGTGGACAAGGCTTCTGACTAAAGCAGGGGAAGATGGAGTTCACCACCCCAGATCACTCACCTTTCCTGGCTGCCGAGAATCACCCGTGGAGTGCTGGGCTGCAAGGTACTCTTGCTATCCCGTAGGGTTGAGTTGGTGACATCCATCCTGGGAGAGCCTCTGAGGTGCTCTCTGGCTTTGAAGCCTGTGCCTTTCCTCAGTCATAACAAGCTAGCCAGCATGTCTGCTCCTAGTCCTAAGTTGCTGACTCCCAGGAGAAGAGGCGAACTGGTTCGTGTTTTGAATTTAACTACTCGGTGTATTTTTAGAAAATATAAGAATGACAGAAATCCTAATCTCTGTGTCCTCCAAACGTTCCCCAATACTCAAATTTACTCTCAAGTTTTCCTCTTCCTAAGTCTTTATTCATCAAAATTCTTTGCCATTAAAAAAAAAAGTCTCTGGATTTTCTTTCTTAAGTTTCCAATCTTCTATTCTCGAACTTTCTTTCCCCCCCAAAAGACTCCCTGAAATGCCAGGCTGAGTAGATTCAACCTACAAAAACAACAGGTTTGGTTCTACCTGGGGCAGGTGGAGGTGAGCTCTCATCCTGGCGCTGGTGTTCCCAGTGTGAGGCCACTCAGGGAGAACGTCCGGCCCCTGCCTTCTGGTACAAACATGAGGGGCTCCGAGGGAGGAACTGCCAAGAGGCCCAGGAAAGGCTCCGTGAGAAACGCGTCATCCTCCACCCGCCAGAACCTCAGAGCAAAAACAGCAAACCACTTTGCCAGATGGAAACACAGAGTCAGCCACAGGAAGCAACATCACCGACGTGCTAATGAGGCACAGGGCACAGGAAATGCTGCTGATCTTCATAAGACAGAAGGAAACCGTCCTCAGCCCGCCGTTCCCTGGGCAGGCTTGCATGTGATTAGAAATGGGGAGGAGAGTTGGGGATGAGATTGTCCACCCTGGGTTCTGAGACACTTAGAGTTTTATAAGCCTCCGGGGTCATGGTGCTTTTTCGTGGAGAGAGAGTACTGGGAGGTGCTTTTAGAGAGAAGTGTGTGTCTCTGGCACCTGCTTCCGTGTGTGGGGGTGAAAGGTACAGAGGAACAGGCTTTAAAAATAGCTTTCCAGGTGATGTTGACAGCTCTGGTCTGTGTTTCATGCTTTGACAATCTCTGCTCTGGGTGCTACCCCCCAAACAGAGGTGAGTCTGGGTTGTCAGGGCCACAGGAGGTCATTTCTTCCACCCCTGCTCCCTCAAGGCCTGTGTCAGAGGCACCTGGCTGCTGACTACCTCCTGCTAGCAGGGCTCCTCTGCAGACCGGTCCCAGGCCCATCTCTGAGGACAGATGGTTCCCCCACAGTATCTACCTGAAGGGTCCCAAGCTTTGGAGATTGTTCAAAGGGAGAACCTTCTCATCTCCAAAAGTGCTGCATCTTAGGAAGGAATCCCAGTGAGAAGGGGGCCTCTGAGACAGCTGTGAGGATGTGAAGAGCCTGTCTGGCCCCGCTTTCCCTAAGCAGGCAGATCCCCAGACGGACGGTTACCACGCCTCTCTCCTGTCCCCTCCCAGGGGTCATCAGGGTCCTCTGCTTCCCTAAGACAACCTGCCCTTCCATGCTCCAGGCTGTCCAGGGCGGGGACATGACTGACAGCCAGGCTCTCCAGGGCACTCGGCCACAGCCTTCCCTCCCAGGAGCCTGACCTGGAAGGAAACAGAGATGACTTGGCCACGGCTGGTTCTAGCTGGTTCTGGGTCTCTCTCTCTTTCCTTCTTCCTTTTTTTTTGTACTGGGCATTGATCCCAGGGGCGCTTTACCACTGTGCTACATCCCTAGCCCTTTTTACTTTTTATTTTGAGACAGGTCTTGCTAAGTTACTGAGGCAGGTCTTGAAATGGACTTAGCCTCCTGAGCTGCTGGGATACAGGCGTGTGCCACCGTGCCTGTCAGGAACCCGGGTCTCTGCCTCACATCTCCTTTGGATCAGGTCTGGGTAAGAACTGGGACTTCTCACAAGATCTATTGCACGGGTGGTCAGTGGCTGGCGCCAGCAGCCTGAGCCATTGTAACCAATGAGGGATAATACGTGAACCAGGAACTGGAAGGTGATAAGGAAAGGGCAGATGGAACAAATCGCAGAGCCCTGACTACTGTGTAAACAAGAAAAACAAAATGTTCAAAGCGCCTGCCCCTGTGTGTCATAGTTCCAGGGCCTCACTTCCTTTACCTGCCCCACCTGCTGCAGGTAAGTAAGCTTCCTTCTGGCCCTGCCATTCTCTTCTGCCCCACCCCAGGGGAACAACCTCCTCAGAGGGGTCCTACGCTGAGGCTGTTGTCCCTCCATCATCCTGCCCTCCTGTCTGTCCCCATGGCACAAATTATCTGTCTAGTCAATGCGTTAAAACAAAGTCTTAAAATAAAAAATGAAAAGGGCCGGGGAGGTAGCTTGGTGCTAAAGCACCCCCTGGGTTCAATTCCCAGTACAAAAGCAAAACAAAAACAAACAAACCCCCAAACAGGTGTCTAGAATATTAATCAAAACAGTCGAAGAACACTCACTCTTTGGGAAAGCGTGTGTTTTAAACCCGGATGTTCTAGTGTTTCTTTGTAGCCACTTCTAATGATTTTAGGTTTTGCATGTTATGTGACTATAAAGAAGAAAGGTTAGTTCCTTTTTTTTTTTTTTTTTTTTTGGTACAGGGAATTAAATGAACGAACCCAGGGGCACTTAATAACTGAGTCACATCCCCAGGCCTTTTTAAAAAAAATATTTTATTTTGAGATAGGGTCTTGCTAAATTGCTTTAGGGCCTTGCTAAATTGTTGAGCCTGGCTTTGAACTTCTAATCTTCCTGCCTCAGCCTCCTGAGCCTCTGGGATTACAGGCTTGCACCACCATACCCAGCAGGGAGCAAAGCCCTCTTATGGGGCTTGGGGACTGTGTGCTATTGTAATCATGTTGCTAACACAAGAACCTGTCCTCTTAGGGAGGACAGAAGCACGACTTGAACAGTGTCCATCTGGGTTCAGATTGTTAATTGCCAACTGGTGAATCTTGGCAGGTCATCTACTCTTTCTAGGTTTTTTCTTGGATATAAAATGACTATAATAATAATAATAATAATAATAATAATAATAATAATAATTCTTATGTAATGCTGTTGTGAAGATTAATTGGACCTATGATGAAGAATGCTTGGCTTAAGACTTAGCATATATGAGATCTTATTAAATGAGGGCTATTGTATTATTATTATGACATCGGTCTCATTAGCTCATACTTATAGGCTTAATGAACTGCTCTCATTGTCATCCCTTCTCCCATTGGCGTCCCTTCCTGGCCCCTCTCCTTGATGCTTTCCCTGCCTACCTTTGCTTTCTCCTTTAAACACATAATTCTGGGACATCTCCCACTGCAGGCACCAGGCGCTGGGTTTAGCTACATGGCTGGCAGTGTCCTGCATTCGATGTACACCTGACTTATTGTCCCTTGGTCCTCTGGGCCTTTACACAACCAACACCCCCCCCCATTAAGAAATTTGCAAGCTGTTTATTTGGTAAAAATAAACATATGTGATTCTTCCTATTATCTAAGCATATAAATGATTGTAACCAAAGAAGTTGGCCAGAACTATATCACCAACTCTGTTTTCAATTTGCTTGCTAGGCCCTTTTTATATTTTTGTAAGGTGTAGAAACTTTGAGAAACCAGCAATGAATTCCATTTTACTAATTGTGTAGTTCAGACAAGAGGCATTGAATGCCTTGTTTGTATAAGGTATCATGCTAAATAGCCTTTTAGAGGGTGCTAATGAAGAGAAATAAACCTCTAAAGGACTTATAATGTAACTAGGAAAGAGAGGAAGGAGGAAAGGAAAATCCTTGATGTGCCTCTACAAGACCTTGTGGTATATATTTTGTATGTTTTACTATTCAACGATCTTTTTTTTTTTTTTTGCTACCAGTGATTAAACCCAGGGTGCTTAACCACTGAGCCACATCCCCAGCTCTTTTTAGTATTTTATTTAGAGACAGGGTCTCACTGAGGTTGCTTGGGGCCTTGTTAAATTACTGAGGCTGGCTTTGAACTTGCAATCCTCCTGCCTCAGCGCCCCCGAGCTGCTGGGATTACAGGCGTGTGCTACTGTGCCCAGTATATTCAACAGTCCTTGTTGCAAACAATAGAACTTGATCTGGGTATTTTCTTTAAAAGGGGAAATTTATAACTAGCCTACTGAATCCAAGAAATCTAGAGAACTAGGTTTGGAAAATAATGACGAAATCAAGGAAATTTAAGCAGAAGAGGGTTGGCCCAGAAATATTCTCATTAATATTATGCTGTTGAAATCTCTTCTTGTAGTTCTAAGGCTACTAAAAGTCTCTATCTCACTGTCATTCATTACTGTCCCAGGAAATAATCTTTTTTTTTAATTAAGAATTTTTAAGTTTAATGAAAATAATGACAATAAAGTGAAAATCCACTTAGTAAAATATATCCAACAACCTAATCATTATAAACAACATATAGTTGATTTATTTTTTTTTAATTTATTTTTATTTTTATTTTTTAGTTTTCGGCGGACACAACATCTTTGTTTGTATGTGGTGCTGAGGATCGAACCTGGGCCGCACACATGCCAGGCGAGCGCGCTACCGCTTGAGCCACATCCCTAGCCCCCATATAGTTGATTTCAAGAAAAGTTTTTTTAAAGTGTATCCTTAACTCTCAGTCTGTGTCTGTAAAAAATATATATATATATATATATATGTAACATATATACATATATATATGTAACATATATACATATATTATATATATGTAACATATACATCTATTATATAATATATATATGTATATGCAGTTTTTTAAAAATTAGAGTCTTGTGATGAACATGATGGTGAGATTCACTGTGGTACATTCATATATGAACATAGGAAAGTCAGGTCAGATTCATTCACTGACTGACTTTCCCTCTCCCATTTCTCCTCCCTTCTCTTTGTTCCCCTTGTTTACTCTTGTGATTTTACTTCTATTCTTTTTTTTTTTTATCCTCCACCCCACACAATTTCCTTTATTTTATCAGCAGTTTCTTTTTCTCTTGTAAAATTCCAATCAAGTTGCACTTTAAAACTTTACTCTGGTCCTTTCTGGGTTTAGGTCTTGAGGTCTTTTATTACTTTGTTCTTCAGATTTTTACTACTTAAACGATTGCAAAGATCAAACATCATTTCTATTTAAAAATTATTAAGAGAAAAATATGGTTCGCAGGCCACCACTGTGCACTCAATTTTGGGACAGTATTGCTCATCTTGTGGAGGGAGAGTCCTGGATCTCATGTCTGTCTCCCTAGGTAGCCTCTGAAGCCTCCAGGGCAGGGTGCCTCTCTGTCCCCTAGCACAGTGCCTGACTGGGCCCTCTGAGAAGTTCTCTTGCTGTGAAATTGTGACCTGAATGTGTAATGGAGTGAGATAGTAAGGACAAAATCAGTGCCCTTTTTTTTTGGGGGGGGGGGATTTTTTTATTATTAGTTGTCCAAAACATTACAAAGCTCTTGACATTTCATATTTCATACATTTGATTCAAGCAGATTATGAACTCCCATTTTTACCCCGTATACATATTGCTGATTCACATCGGTTACACATCTACTTTTTACATACTGCCATACTAGTATCTGTTGTATTCTGCTGCCTTTCCTATCCTCTACTATCCCCCCTCCCCTCCCCTCCCCTCCCATCTTCTCTCTCTACCCCATCTACTGTAATTCATTTCTCTCTCTTGTTTTTTTTCCCCTTTCCCCTCACTTCCTCTTATATGTAATTTTGTATTACAATGAGGGTCTCCTTCCTTTACCCTGCAATTTCCCTTCTCTCTCTCTTTCCCTTCCTCCTCTCATCCCTGTTTAATGGTGATCTTCTTCTCATG